AAAAAACGTCCAAATGACGTTAAAAACGTCAACCGTCAAAAACGGCAACGCTGAATGCAAGAATGAGGTGTAAGGGTGTAAGCAGGCCCGTCAAGAGGGAGGAGGAAAAGGGGTGATCCCCCCGGGCCCAAGCTTCTTAAGGGACCCGAAATATGAAAACCATAACTTGTTATTATTATTTTTTCAGTGTAATTGCTCGTTCGTTATAGCCTTTTATTATAAATATTATAAATATATTCCGATTCGTGCTGATGGCTTCTGACTATAAATTAAAGAAAAAGAACATATGGCCCAAAACGCTACTGTTACAATACGTTTTGGTTGACAGTGCTTTTCAAATACCGCTGAAACTTGCTAGAATACATAATGTGACCAACCGTACTTCTTTCGGAAATACAGCCCTTCTTTTTTCGCTTTTTTACCTGAACCAGATAACTAGGCGGCCGATCAACGGCGGCTGTCGTAGAAGCGTAACATTGAGGAAAGGGTAGGAAAGGTGTAGGTTACCGTGTACTGTTGCAGGGGAGCTATCGGTGGAACTCACTAGAGAAGGTTACACTTGTAAAAGAGGAATTAGCAGATCATTAAGAACCACACCTACACTGGAGCTTAACATACATATCTTGAACACGGCGCTTGCGGATATTGCAGACAGAATTGTCGCAGCATGAACTGCTATTAGGCTAAGGGAAACTGGGTCCTTTTGTGACATAAAAAAAGGAAAATAGGATGTTTCTCTGCTGCAGAAAATATTTTTATAGGGCACTTTAAAACACGTTACCTGTCTCATGTGGTGAGTCTAGGAATTTCAACTGATCCTTTTGTATCAACTGTCAAAAGGAAGATGAAGTGGAATCATCTCCACACTTTCTTTTATACTTTGCATTTTGCATTTTGGCGCGCACTCTCAGGGATCGAAATTAGCTGCACTCGAAATTTCGTAATCGGCTCGCGGCGTTAACTTAACCTAACCTAAGCTGNGGCAGTTTTCATATTTCTGAAAATTACCGTTATATGGGAGGCGGTTATTGTCCGATTTTGCCCATTTTCAATACCATCCGTCCTACGCCANAGAAACTTTCGGATAGTAACTATGTGACAATATTTAATATATACCTAAAATATATTGTACCTCCTGTTGTTTAGGAGTTATAAATGTTTCAACAGCGGACTGTTAGATTACAATTTTTGGAAGTNACGCTTGGTTTGCATCATATTTAAGTCATATGTGTGCAAAGAATAAAATTTTTTTGAGGCACCTGCTGCAAAAACAAAGCTTGTAAATATTTATTAAGAAAATAGTTCTAAATCAGTTCTACTTACAAGATTTAGTAACAAATTTGCCGAAAGTGTGAGNGATTACAATTTTTGGAAGTACTTCTTAAAGCTGCTTTATATTATCCAAAAAATCTGCTCTCTTATATAACTCAAAAACTACGTATTTATTGAACTGATAAAATTAATTTGGGGAAATAGGGGAACACCTTAATTTAAAAATACATTATTTATTGCATTTTTAACCGACTTCCAAAAAAGGAGGAGGTTATCAGTTCGTCGGNGAATATATTGTGCATAGAGAAAAATTACTCGGAAGTTGAAAAACGCAATTTTTTACACAAAAAACGTCCAAACGTCAACAGGATACAAAAAACGTCCAAATGACGTTAAAAACGTCAACCGTCAAAAACGGCAACGCTGAATGCAAGAATGAGGTGTAAGGGTGTAAGCAGGCCCGTCAAGNGTTTTTATGTATGTTACCGCATAACTTTGGACTGCATCGGAAAGGTAGGGTATCAGAGGTGGTTCCATACTAATGTGCTTTAGATCCGATCATTGGATCATGAAATATATATATATATATATTTTTCTTTAAGTCGGTTTTTTTTGCTAAAAATGTTTTCTATTTGCATGAAGCTGTGCACCTTCACTCAATTGTATATCCCTCGAACAACAAGTACAATTCAAGACCTTTAATTTGAGCGAAGGTATGCCTCTAGGCCCTCTGAGAGCCAAGTTATAATAATTTTAAACCAAACTTCGAAACTGCTTCACTAGTTTTTACTCCGAAATTAGAAAAAAAATGCGTAAAATGTTGTATCAAATTACGAAGTTTAACTTCAGAATCGTAATAATTTAGCTCTCCAAGGTCCTAGAGACTTCTACCTTGGCTTAAATTAAAGGTCTTGAATAGCACTAAAACTGACTTGTTGTTCGAGGGATATAAAATTGTGTGAAGGATGCACAGCTTCATTTATAAACCATATATAATATATTAAAATAAAATGTCTATCATACTTGGGCGTTCAAAATTTTTGATTCATATTCATTAGACTGCATCACTCCCCATACAAAAAAAAATCGGTACTATTTTTCCATTGGAATTATAAAATCTATTATATTCTAAGACGTCCACCAAAATATTTCGGAAAAACATTAAGATTTAAGTGATGCTGTTTTTTTAACTTTTTTCAAAGATTGGTATAGGAAAAACTTGAATAACTGAACCTAAACTCTTCCGATTTAGACTTAAGAGGTGTCATTGGGAAGGCATTTTCTCATCCTTTTTATTTCTTTGCTAATAAACTCATTCAAAGGATGGAAAAGAAAGGTAGGATGAACGAACGTCATTCAAAGTTGAATTAAGATGTGTTGGTATTCGAAAAAACAAGATAAGACACGAATGACGTTTTTTTTTGGCCAGAAATAAAAACAGTGTGAAAATACCTTTCTACTGAGATCTATCTAAATCAGAACATTTTTGGCCCAGTTATTCAAGTTTTTCGTAAACCAATCTTTGAAAAAAGTAAAAAAACAGCATCAAAAATCTCATTCTTACGATTCCGTTGAAAAGATTTTTAAATATTTTTATGCAGATTTTTTAAGCTTAATCTAATTTGTGATCTGAGGGGACTTTTTTCAAAAAGTTCTTTAGGAAACTATTTTTATTCATAAAAAACTTCATTTTTGGAGGTATTTTCAAATCGGTCCAGCTCGCTTAAATCTTAATATTTTTCCGAAATATTTTGGTGGACGTCTTAAAATATAATCAATTTTGTAATCCCGGTGGAAAAACCGCAACTTTTTTTGGTGATGCAGTCTAATATTCATACATAGTACATATATATGCATACGTGCATTCAAACATACATATCGCACAACGTCTTTAAAAGAGTCAGAACCCAAACTTTTGCATTTTAGAAATTATGCACTAAAAATGTACACAGAGCTTTTATTTACCTTTCAGCAAAAGCTGGAGCAAATTTCTGTTATAATTTGTTAAAAAAACCTAAGGTAAAGTCGCTCTTGCCTATATGATTAGCATGTACAACGAAATAGTTTTTCGGATTTTCTGACGAACGTATTATTTTGAGTTGTGACTCTTTTGATGTTTGTGCTATCGCTTTGTATAGCCGTCATACATCGCTTTCTTTCTTTTTTTCCCTTCTCTATACTATATCTTCCTTCTTACTCATGTAACATTTTCAGTTTTAAAAATTTCACTCTCCATTTTCGCGATACCGCCGCCTAAGAAGTTTGCCTTCAAAAGAATTGTAGAAATCGGTTAACGTGGTCCAAAGTTATGCGGCAACATACATAAAAAAATATTCCGATGAATTGATAACTTTCTCCTTTTTTCGAAGTCGGTTAAATAAAATTTAAACAAGTAATTTGTAAGCAAAACCGACTTTAATTCTCTTACACAAATTTAATAGTGCCGTCAATTTCTTCATGACCAAATGATCGGATCTATACCAAATTAGTATGGGGCCACCCTTGAGGCAACGTCTTTCCGATAGAAAAATAATTATCGAAATCGGTTGACGAACTGATAACCTTCTCCTTTTTTTAAGGTCGGTTGAAAAGAGAAAACATTTATTTTAAGAAAAAAAAATATATTTATATTCTTAAAAATAGTATTAAACAAAAAATATATATTTATTTTCAAATTAATATAACTAAAAATTAAAATAAAATAAAAAAAAGTAATAAAAGGAGAGTTCCTAAGAATTAAACGCAATCAAAAAAATTAAAAGAAAATAAATTATTAAAATGAAGAAAAAAATCTAATTGCAAAGATAAAATAAAATTAATTCTAAACATTAAAAAAAAATTTTGAAACAATAAAATCTAATAAATACATAAAAAATAATAAAAATTAGAAAGTAAAATAAAAGCCGGTTTCACCAGCAATTTAAATGGAAAATGTTTTTTTATTTTCTGTCAATTTCCATATAAAATTACAAAAATTAAAATAATTTTTCACTTAAATTGCTTTTGTGAAATTGGCTGTAAGTGTATAAAAATTTAGTTAAATTTAAAAAATACACTCGTATAATGCATTTTTTCAAGTGCAAACATGAAAATGAAATTTAATTAAAAAAGAAAAGAATGAACTGAAAAATTAACAAAAAAATCCGCAGTCCGAGGACTCGCCTCGGATCTCTCGAATTAGCACGCTAGTGCGTTGCCCACTCGACCATGCAATTGTTAGAGAAGCGCGAGCAATATGATACCCAAGTGCTTTCTCTCAAAAGAGCTGACAAGGGAGCTCTTTTCAGGAAGACTTTCTTGCCAGAATAAATGAAGTCTTTCAAAGGACTTCAGCCTTTGCCAGAATTGCCGTGTAAAGGTTGGATTAACTTTAAAATCATTGTATATGTTCGTTGCAGACGTTACCTACGCCTTTTTGCCGTTAAGAAATTTAATTTTTTAAAGCGATATTAAGGTATTTTATTTAAAGAAACATTACATTAATGTATGCATATGTAATGGGCTATGCTATTCTGGATACAAAAAAAGGAGAATTAGAATTACACGTTTTTGGTTGACTAGCCCATCATATATCGTATATGTAGTATATAGATACGTAAATATAAGCACCAAACACAAAAACTATTTATCCAGGGATGGGACCGCTGTCACAAATTTCGATCCACCACGCTTTTCATCTTCATCACAAGAAACTTAAAAATTTTTGTGATATAACTACTTGAACTTACCGAGTATAGCACGCAGATGTCCTTCCAATGTCTGCAATATTGTTTGCTTTATCTCCTTAACGCTCTTGCCCAGAAACTGTTCGCTGGCGGTGCCCAACAATTCGTCAGCCTGATGGTGAAAATAATACACGTTCATCATCTGCACGCAGGCAGAATGTTGTTGGTGTTGTTGAAATTGAAGGAAGATGGATGAATGAGGGTGTTGGTTGGTTTTATTGTTGGTTTATTGATTGGTTGATTGATTGATTGGTGGTTGGTAGTTTTTGTTTTATTTTGGTGATGGTTATTGATGAAGTTTTACAATTGTTTTTTTTTTTTATTTAGTTTTTATAAATTTTTTTGGTAATAGCAAAAGAGAGAGAGAAAAAAAGAAAACAACATTTAAAAGCTGAACAACGGTAATCGTTAAAGTAAAATGACAAATTTCTAAATAACTATCAATACATCAATTTACATACAATACATTCAATTGGTTATGGAAAAATGGACATAAACGTTGTGAACAATTTTATGTTGACACGAACAAGTTTTGGCAACAATGTATGAAAGACATTTGCGTTTTGTTTTATAAATACATACATACAGATGTGAATGTAAAGCACCAATGGAGTAGTTGCAATGAGACTTTTAGAAATGATTCTGCAGCGAATAAATAAAATTTTAATATATTTTTTTTATACATTTAAGGACTGCGCCGAATAAAATTTTCGGTCATACTTTTTTCCATGTTTTACTACTGAAATTTGCAAATAAAATTTTTTTTATCATATTAGCTAAGTCAGAAAACAATGGATGTGTTTCGTTATATAAAAAAATATTTTACGCGAAAATTGTAACAAAATAGAAATTGCGAGAAAACATTATTAAAATTGTTTAAAAGCAATCTGATTGATCTTTTTAAAAAATTATCTAAGAGGTGAGTATTGTCCCAAAAAAAGCATACGGGTTGTTGGTCGATTTAATGTCGAAAGAGGGGTTTCGGTAAATAGAAGAGATTACACGATCGCGAAAAGGTAAGGAAAATCAAAGCTGAACAATTACAATGAGAAAAAAGTTCCAGAAAAAACTCAATCAAAAATGGTACTGAAATAGAAATATTAAAATTGCAGAAACACTATTTTTTATAAATTCGTATGATGCATAATGGCGACCAGAAGTATTAAACGTACATAGAGGGTTTTTGTCATCTTCCAGGACAGGAATTTCATACAGCCTCTTTCCTCAAGAAATGCCGCTAGCCAAGTGGCAAAATGGAATGTTGAATAATATAGAAAGTAATGTAACACCTTTATAGCCGACACATTAAAAGATGCATAATTTATTATATAGGCAGGATTTGAACACGCGACCAACAAGTTGGCAGTCTAACGCGCAATCATTCGGCTACGGTGGCTGTTACGATAACGTTAAGAAAATACATACATACTTAAATTCGTTCCAAAGTTTTGCTTGAGGCTTCAAAACTCCACATTGCCCTCTCGCTTATATTGTGATGCATCTTTTCGTTTAATCGCGTACGTTAATCTGTTCGTCTGTACCAAAGAACGTAAATCTATAAGAGGAGACAACACGTTATAATTGTAGCGAGTGTGAACATGAGGAGCGTGCCTTCTTTTTTCATCCAATCACAAAACGTATTTGGGCAAAAGAGAAAGCACGCTCCTGATGTTCCCACTTGTTACAATTATAACGTGTTGTCTCTTCTTATAGATTTACGTTCTTTGTCTGTACAGAGCTCTTGTTTAAAGGGAAATGAAGGTCAAAAAAATTTGGCCAGCTGTGTGGTTGTTAGACACTACTTACTACATATAAAAACGCTTATTGGCGGGGTCCTTAAAAAATAATATGTACCTCTTCTTTCTTTATCACTTTATGTAATTGGGTATTAATTATAAAAATAAATTCTTTAGTTGTTGAAAATCTGATAAACTGGTTCAAAACATACATACTTACGTATATGCATACATATAAACTTGCTTCATTATTTGCAGCGAACAATTTTATTCGGCTAAGTCCTTATTTAAGCAGATTAGTAATAAACAAACAAACATCCATACATACACAAAATACCAAATTCATGAGAATGACTTTTTACAAATGCAAATATGGCTGCCAATTCGTTTTAATGTACATAAATGGGGTTGCCTGAAAACAAGAGAAAGTACATATAAGGGGTTCCGATTATTCGCCTTTTCCCAAGACCGGTTTTCGAGTTATTCAAAAAATTGCAATTTGAAAAAACCGGTTCCCGATTTTGAAATTAAGAAAAAACCGGATAAATCGGTTTTATTTTACATAGTTTTCATACAGTGAAAATTCTTAGGTTGGTATGTTTGTATCTAAGATGAACGAAGTTGTAGAACGAATCTATTTTAAAATTTCCTTGGACAGTATGGAAAGAGAACAATGATTAAGAAAGGATTGAAAAGAAAACAGAGGTGTATATGAAATTATTTCCGATATAACCTAGTCATGGCCAGCGTTGCCGCTTTTCTTTATTTATCATCTTTGGTAACTTATATTCCAATTTGGTTACTTTTTCGATTCGGCCCTACATGTAACATACGTCAAAAGAAGTTCTGATTTTACATTACCAAGTGGGCCGTAAGCGTTTTCTTTTATAGAAATACCAGGTAATCCTGAAAGTTTACAAAGGCGAAAAGTTCTTCGGTGTTACTTGGTTACTAGAATTGTGTGATCTCTAACAAACTGCCTGAAAGTGGCTATTGCCATATCTACCGTGTCCCTTTCCAGTAGGTAGTGGATGGTCCTCCCTTTCCTTGTCAGTTCGTCAGCTTTGCAATTGCCATCAATATTCCGGCGTAACCCGGAATTCTATGTATGTTCTCGTTCAAAAAGCTACGGTCAGTAGGGGACTTAACTTTGTCTATGTGTGAGTCGAAAGCTTTCAAGCCTGCGTTGAATTTTTGAGATATTTTCGCCCACTTGTTGACGTATGTATGTATGTATGTATGGTTATTGGTCATAACTGGACAAATGTTGATTTTAAAGTGCTCCAAAATTTTAGGTTTATTTGCATAAATACGACCTCATAAAATAGTCTAACGGTGTCAAGTCGGATGATTTCAGTGGCCAAATGACATCCCCTCTACTGGAAATTATGCGCCTAATAATTAACTCTGTTGCAATGAACCGTATCCATGACACTGTGAATGATCAGATATCTTCAGTGGCTTTGTGGCCAGAGCTTTGCATGGATGGAGATGTATATCCAAATGCAAAATATACCATTATGAGCCATAAGACAGCACCATGTTCTTAAAACAATGCGTAATCGACAAATTTATTTCTTCGGCCATACTTAGGTTTGAAACCCTCACCATGAGTTTCTGTTGTTGTGACTTTTAGCGTTCACGCAGATATAAAAATTATAACGGAATGGACGCTGGTTGCATGAAAAACTTGGTGTCTTCGGATATATGTACAGACATATCTACATATATACAGTTCTGCACATAAAATAAGTTTGGTAATTTTTTGTTGAATTTGGTAACTTTTTCTGGTGATTTTGGTAAAAAATTAAAAAAGTTTGTGGCACAACTGCCAGAATTAAGAGTATGGTGACTCAGCGCAAAGACGGATTTTATCGCTTTTTGCATATTTTAAGTAAATAAACATAAATGTTTTTTTGCAGTAAAGTTAAATAAATATTATTTGCGACGATGATACGCAATTTTTTTTGTGTGTGGAGATTTTTGACCTAGTTAGAAATTTTAATGATAATCGAGTTAAATTTTTTAATACTTCCATAGAAGATTCTCAATTTTAGCTCAAATCATTTGTTTATGATGACATATTAGGAATGTGAAGAATGGATGAGCAATGCCTTTGGGGTAAACCTTATCCCAGCGCACTGTATTTGTACCAATGCTTTGTACAACGTTACCAGTGCCCAGATTTAATTAGCAAAAAGTGTCAAAAACCTAAAATTTAGAACAGTTGAGTATGCAGATGTCTTGCATTCATTGCAGATGATATACTGAAAAACTAGGAATATTCGTTCACCCAGTTCGCAGAAATTTCCAACTTTTTTAAACCAGTAAAAGAGTAAAATTTGTATCGCACTGAATATTTTATTTTAAATAATTGGAACGGATTTAAAAAAAACATTTCTATGTATGTGCATAAGGTGAACAGTCGCAAATAAAAGAAAAACCATCAAATTAGAAGTAATATTTTTCTTTGGTGACGAATTTCAGGTTTTTAAAAATGATATACATGTTTTTCAGGTCGTTGAATTCGATTCTGATGATAGAATCGCGAAATAAAAAATGGTTGATTCAGTATGCCGGACTGTACCTACAAAAATGCATAACATACGAGTTTTGGATAGCAACCGCCATATTGGTTCTGCTTATGGTTTGCAGCGATTAATCGTTTGATTAAATTAATCAATTACTTTTGTCCAATTTACAATTTAATTGTATCGTAGTTTTGTGTTTCATTAATCGATTAATTGTAAGATAATCGTAAAAATATTTTCAAGAAATATGAATACTGTAGCTGCCTAAAATTTCAAACAGCCGCAAGAATTGCTCAAGATTAGAGCATACAATGGTGTAAATAGTTGTGTATGTAAGCCCATTAGGGCCCTCAGCCGCTGTGGTGTAGTGGTAAGCAGTGCGCGCTTCCACTCCGCAACGCCGTGCACATTGTGCAGTTTTGCCTTCGTGTTTTCACACCAACGCTGACGATGTGTAACGAATTTATGGTTTCGCCATGGTAGCCAACTCATTTTTGAGAATTCCCCGATTTCGACAAAGAAATTCCCCGATTTTGCTCGAAATTTCGTAAAATTCCCCACCCATAGATATCTCCTTATTAAGCAAAAAAATTGTATGTATTTTGGTATTTTGCTGGTATTTCTGTTAATTTTATTTTTAAATATGTACTATAATTCATCTATGTATTCATAAACCAAACCAAACATTTATTAAGTTTGTCAACAAATTGTTTGATCGTTTGTGCGAAACCGTCAACTCGATGCCAATTCTGCTTCACGTAACAGTTTGAAATACCACGTAGTATTAAATAAACGTGCGTTATTGCACGATAGTGAATTCAATATCGATCAAAAGAAAAATTTGAACGAGCCACAAAATGGCATACGGCTCATTT